TGTGTGTGTGTTTGTGTCCAGTTTGGTGCTCAGGTGAGCTTGAGGCTCTTGCTGACCTTCAACCTGGGTGAGGAGGTCGGAAGAGCTCCTGGGATGGAAGAAACGACGGTGGAAGTGAATGCCCTGCTTGTAAAATACTCATGGAAGTGTATTCCAGGACATTGAAGGACCCCCCTTTTTCTATATGAAACTTGTATTTTTTTGAGAGGCCCACGTTCCACTTAAAGGATTTAGGGAGTGGATTCCAGTCCTATGGAGAGTTTGGGCACGTCGTTGACCCTTGAAGGTCATGGAGGACTGTTGTCTCGGGCTTCGTGCAAAAGCGCGCTCCCCAATGGTTTTATCAGCCTTCTTGCAGTGTTTCCCTGGTCTTGTGGATCGGGTGTGTTTTCTATTTTCCCTCTGAGTGAATGAATCTCTTTTGAAAGAAGTAGGTTTTCTGTCAAACTATGAGAATCCGAGCCCATCAGCCTGAACACATAGGGTTCACTTTTGGCTCCTCAGGCAAACACCTTGTTTATTTCTCACTTCCAACAAGATGCGCAGAGTTTTTTGGGTACAGCTTAATCTAAAGACACTCGCCCACAGTTGTTTGCCCACCACCCAAGGGTGCTGGTGTTCCCTCCTTGCTCCAAGGACCAGCTGGTCAACTGGATTTGCAACGAATACTGGAAAGGCGAGCGAGCTTGCTTTTTTGGTGTGCAGCCCAATGAAGAAGCAATTCTTGGCCACAGAAATGGGAATGGCATCTTCCATGGCATGAAATTATTGATGGGGTGGTTGAAGCGGAGTCAATGTAGCTATTCCCTACATGGGAGTCTTTGGGGAGGGGTTAGGTTTCATATGGCTTCATAGACTCCAGACTTGGACTCACCCATCACCTTCACTCCTTCCCGCAGCTGGCCGCGGCGGCGAGGCGCTTCGCATCCGCGGGCCTTTGACAGCTGCCTCGTGGAGTTCACCCACTGGATCGACAGCGCCAACGCTCAGCAAGGCGACCGGTCCAGGAACGGTCCGTGACAGGTCTGTGAGCACGGGTAGGATGGTAGGAAAACTCCCTGAAACTCCGGGACTGGAATAGTGACATGGATGGGTCATAAATGCAGATAAGTACATGCGTGTGTACTGTAACTATTCCCTACAGGATGGTTTGGTGTATGTATATATATATTTTATATATACTACGTTTTTTAATGGCCAGAGGCCACCACATGCCACCACTTGGGTTTCAGGGTCTTGAGGAGGTTGGTTTTTGCGGCGCCCGACTGAACTGGATGTGGGAGAAACAACCAACCCCAAGTGGCAAGCTCTATGACAGCTTCAGCCAATTGAATTGTCTCTTCTGTAGCCTTGCACCATAGAAACTGCCTCGGTGCAGGGACAAAACCTTCAACAATCCAAAAATTACCCAAAATTAGCGATTGCTTCCAGGGTGGGCAGGTCTTGTGGCGTGAGAGCCTCCAGTTTAGTCTGCGGTGGAGGCAGCAAGGACGATATTTGGATACTATATATATAATTATGTATACTTCAAAAGATTGTTCTAGTCTATTTTAGCTTTACTCTTCCCATTGAGAGACTTCTAGATGACTCTTCTGATGGTTTGGACCGTGCTCCAAAACGAACTCCTATGAGTTGTGTGGCTGTGCCGCTGCCCGGCTCAGCATGATTGCCAGGCTCAACACCGTTGATGTTGATGGAGTTTCTTTGCCTCTTTTTCCTTGGACACTGGGCAGAAAGTTCCGAAGTTTTTTCAAACCAAAACAATAACAATTCAAGCCTTTGCAGCTTTGGCACACACATCAAACTGGACTCGGTATGCTCGAAAGAAGTTTGTTTTTTCAGCTCGGGTTCTTCGGGAGAACTCCACGAGACGATGTGCTCTGGAACCGTTGAAAGACTTGATGGGACTTGCCGTACTTTCAATCGAAATCAATCAACCAGGACCTTCCTTTTTTAAGGTTTGGTAAGTGACCTTTTCCAGACCTAAGTGACCTCATTCAACCCATTTCCAACAATGAGAAGTTGACATGCCATTTGTACAGAGGACACATGTTTTTTCAGCAGCTACACAGCATCCTCGGCGACTCGGTGTGGGGGGGGAATTTGTTTGTGTATGTTTTGTTGTCTTCCAGACTCGGAGCTCATGATCCACGTTTTCTGTCAAAGTAAGCATTTGGTTCGAGCACTCCAACTACTGGATTTGCCCCGTTTTGTCCTTTTGGTGTTGTTTCATCCGTCAAGGTCCGTGCCAACTGCGCAACTGCGTGCTCCAGCAAAAACCGAGGAATGGTGCAGCAGCTCTTGGAATGCACCTCTTCACAGACCTTGGAGGCTGAAACCCTTCAGCGTCTTGGCCGAAGAGGGCACCCGAAACGAGGTCTCGACGACGACGATGAGATGGCACTGACAGCGCATCAACATGGGGGTCCGTTTCATGGATGGGTGTTTTGAAGTGTTTGTGTGGTGGTTGGTGATGCTTCAGAGGGAACCATTGTGGATGAAAGATAGTAAAACAACGAAAGGTGCAGAAGGCAAGTGCGTCAAGCAACACTCCCATGTGGAAATTGGAAAGATGAAGGCAAAGAGATGATGAACACTCCCGACTGGTATACAAAGCCATACAAAATCCAGTCCCATGCCTTTGAGCTACGGAATCTATGGAACTGATTTGTTTTTTCCCCAAACAGTTTACTGTTGGGGTTCTATCTTAGAAAGAAAAGAGCTGGCCACACTCACTGGCCGCGCCCCTGAACTCTGTGGCTGGGCTCTGTGGCTGGGCCTTGTCCTCCTCTTGTCCTCCTCTCTGTCAACTCTGTGGCTGGGCTCTGTGGCTGGGCCTTGTCCTCCTCTTGGCCGCGCCCCTGAACTCTGTCAACTCTGTGGC